TCGTTGTGGGGCGGGATGTGGCCATGTGGAGACTATCCCGCATCTTTTTGTCAGATGCCCTGTTATGCAGCAGTTTTGGAAGTGGTGGGACATAAAAATCTGTCTCTTATACACATCTAGATGTGTATAAGAGACAGGTGGTAGGATGGTCTCAAGAGGAACGGCTGATCGAATGGAAACAGACCCTCCCCAATGGCTCTTTGGTGAAGAGTCTAAGAAAAGGAAGGACGTGCAGCGGGAAGAGCGGAATGAGGTGCCTAAGGAGGATGTGGGAGAGAAGAGGCAGTGTGGAATGGACCCAAACCTGAGTCAGAATTAGGTAACGGTGGATAAGGAGGTCATCGGTGAGACTTCAAGTCGCCAAGAAGGGGTAAAGGGGCAGCAGGTAAGTAGGGACGGGATGCATGGGATTGGGGGGGAGAAGCCAGAGGAGAGGGGGAAGGATAGAGAGAAGGATTCGGGAGTGAAGGAACGGGGGGGAAGGGACCTGAACATAAGTAAGGATCAGGACATAGGTGAGACTTCACCCAGCCAGGAGGGGCTGAAGGGGCAGCAGGTAAGGGTGGACGATGGGCAAGGGATTTTGGGGGTGACGCCCGGGGAGAGGGGGAAGGATAGAGAGGATGATATAGAGAAGAGTAGGGGGAGGCAGTACGAGGAGGGGAGTGAGGAGGTGGAGAATATGGGCTGTCTCTTATACACATCTAGATGTGTATAAGAGACAGCACACACACACATCCTCTCTCTCTCTCACTCACACACACACACCTCCTCTCTCTCTCTCTCTCTCTCTCTCTCTCTCTCTCTCACACACACACACACACACACACACACACACACCTCCTCCTCCTTGTGCGAACTCACCTCCTCCTCGTCCTCCCTCGTGGTCCCTTGGACCCAAGACCTCCTGAATGCCATTTGTGTGCCTTACCAACTGAGCTGGGCCGCGGTATCTCTAACTGTTACACCCGTTGACTTGGCCATGGTTGGTATAGTTTTTTGTCTG